CTAACACACAGTAGGCTAATTGTACTGTGCATTAGAGTGGCTTTTGTTGTGACGCGCTAATGCTCAGTAGAATTAGTCTACAGCACATTTAGTGTCTCGTGTAGATGCACCCACTGAGGTCAGAATTTTTGTGGTTTCCCTTTGCAACCACAGCAGCCAAAGACTTAACTTTGTCTTTATTTATTTTTTAATAAGATTCTGGAACACAGAACAGAGGCCCTTCTAAGTTAAAGGGGAATCAGATTCTATATACTTGCTAGCACAGACGGCTGAATCCAAAAAAACCCCAAACCCATTAAAGTCAAAGAGTGTTTCAGGTACACAAGAAATGCAACGATCAGAGCAAAAACTGCAGACTCACTGCCTGTAATTTAAAGGTAATAAAACTGTTTTTCCTATTGCTAGGGGGGAAAAATAGCCAGAAAAGACAGTGACATGGAAATGAAGCATTTAGAAATCTAGCTCAGTAATAAAGTGGTGGAGGTGACATTACTACCCTTTTCCTCATCTCCATCTTCCAAGCTCCTTGTGACATAAGTTACCTTTTTGGAATATCAGAGACAGCAAAGGAAACTAATGACCTTGCACCTACATTGGCACCAGACGTAGCAGCAAATTCACTGAGGCTATTTTTGAGTGCTCATAACTAGGAGCAGCTCAGATTTGGGAGGCAGCAGGGTTAGTCAGAGCTAGCTTAGGTTTCTCATTTTGTTTTAACAGGAAAAAATAAATTAATCTAGAAAAGAATTTGTTACAGATTTCTTCATGGTATTTCACAATCACATCACCTTCTCACCCAGTAAGACCTTTAGGGAAGGTTAGGGGAGAATGAAAACTCTGAATCCTTTATATTAACAAATATTTGCAAGAGTTAATTAAAATAGAGACTATTGGTGACTGGAAAACCATGCAGTATGTGTCTTTGTAACATTCAATCCTGATGAGGAATCCTACCACATAGACCTATTTCCAAATGTACATGTTATTTAAAAATATGGAAAGATTATCAAATGCAAAGAGGTTCTTTTCAGAGAATAGGAGGGTCAATGATGAACCAGATCAGCAAGTTTTTTTAACAGATCCACACATAAATCCATTTTTGTGCTGTTTTACTGATCATATGGATGTTAATTCTTCTAAGCCAACGTGTGGTTAATAGTATAGAAACTGACAACTTTCTAGGAGCTGCTTCCAAACACCAGTAAACTTTACTCATAAGCAGCAAGTAGATTTTAGGGACTTTGTCCCTTGGCCTCATCCCAAGGGTGTTGATTAGCTCACACTAACTATGAAACTCTTAGCTGTGCACAGAAAAGATCTGACTCCTATGGTAAGAGAAAGTATACAGCCTTTGCAGGGTGGGTCTCAGAAACTGGTGATGGAGAAGACTTAAGACCCTTTAATATATTCTCTTGCCATTGCAGTATTACTGTGTTTTCTCACATATAGCATGTATCTTTTTCCAAAAACCAGTTGCTGGAAATTCTAGTGCACCTTATATGTAAGAAATATTGTAAGAGCAGTTTCTGTCTTATAGGTAGGGATCGCCATAAATTGTGCCAGAAGTGCCCCCCTCCAGTGACTCCTTTAATGTTTTTCATTTCGCCACTTGCCTCCCCCAACCCCGATGCCCTGCCAGCTGGGCCATTTGCTGCAGATCACTGGGAAAGCAAAAACCACAGCATGTTTAAAACCTCCACCAATCAAGCAGGAGGGGAGGGGGAGTGGACAAGCAGCAACATGAAAAACTTTAAAGGATCTGTTGCAGGGGGGACTTCTGGCACAATTTATGGAGATCCCTACTTAGAGGCCAAAAATGAAAGTAAAATTTGCATGAGGCTCTCAGAGAGCAAAACACTGAGCAGGCTTGGCTCCCTAACTGCTGCTGCTCAGTTACTTACTACAAGCAAAGATCTTTTTTCCTTCATTCTGCCTTTCAAAAACAAATTTGCATTTTTGCAGAATGTTGTATCTGAGAAAATACAGTATTTCTGGACTAGCCTACACTGTACCTTCAAATATTTTGTGCAGTCTAATTTTGAATGTCTCAAATGGTATTCTTAAGTTGGCATATTATTGCATCGACTACTAAATCTCACACTAAGAATGTGTTCCCTAATATTTAGCAGTAGTAATATCACAGGCATACCTAGAAGCCCCAACTAAGAATTACATAGGCATAATAAGAGACTGTCCTCCACTTCTGAAAACATCTATGCAGATGGTTAGCTTTAAGTACATGAGGAATCTCACTGCTTTCAGGGGGTTTTTTCATCTACTTATGGTTAAGTATTTGGCAGGAACAGGGTCTAAATGAATTGCCAAGGTTATATTTCTCAGGACCTCAATCAACACAATCACACAACCAACCTCCCTATCAGCTAAGTTTTCCTCTACTTAAGTAGAAGCAGTAAGATGTAGTTCTTGTGTCCACTGTGTTATATACCTCCTTAAAAATTATCTTCCTAGTGCTTCACATATATCTCTAAACTAAATTGAAAAGCAAATTCAACTCAACTCTAGCACATTTTTTCTCAACATTAACAAAACCCAATTAACAGACTTGAGAATTAAACAAGAACAAATGTTCCCTTCCTTTCAAAGGTTTAACATTCATGAAGATACCATTAATAAGTGAACACTGTCTGGTGTTCTGTTTCTTTTGTTTAGTTTATTGGTGCTGAGAAACCTTCTTGCTGATTTATTTATGCTTGTATCTTATTTCTGTATTCAATTTCAAAGATGAAGTCAAGACAAATAAATAGCCAGACAACAGTTAACAGACTAAAGCTACCAATCTTCTACCTAGTGGGGGTGGGGAAAACAACAAAATTGTGTATGAATACAAACTTTTCTTACTATTCCAGTTTGGTTCTATTCAGTATAGCCTACCTCCAGCATGGGCTGTATAATACTCCATGTATGATGAGTTCTAAGGGGCTTTAAACAAACTACTGTTCTAGGGCCCTAGGATTCCAATTTATTATGGTAATTAGAATTAATAACATTGTTAAATGAGTCCCATCCTTCATGATTCCTGCTGTGCCTTGCTATGATGCTATACAGTTTAGACTATTAGCTCAGTAGGCCAGGGACATTGTGTGTCATGTACGAGGCTGAGCACTTCATGCTTTATCAACTAATAATCTTTAGTCTGATTGAGTTACACTGATGGAGTCCATTTTTCTTGGAACAGAAAAATCTCTCAGAGTGAAACCCAATTTGGTAATCACAAAGGGAAAGCCAATAGCTGTCAGGGCCTTTTTTGAAAAGCTACCTCTTGACATACAGCTGTAGCATCCTGGCAAAGATCATCCAAAATAGAGAAGAAAGAGGCATTGAAGCATGACAAGTTGTGTGCTTCTCTCTGGATAAGCACATACCTCAGATGCACAATAAACCTTCAGACTGAAGGCCATCAATCAGGAAAACAGTGGGTGCATCTACATGTGAAATTAGTGCAGTACAATAAACTCCAGCACAGTTCACACCAGAATTTATTGCTTCCAAGAGCAGAGTTTACATGTGCACCTAGGACCATAGCACATTGAGCCAGCATAGAGCAACACCAGCTGGCAAGGGGTTCAAGGGGTCAGCCTACCAGCCTGGAGTTGCTCTGTCCCAGTTCAATGTGCTGCAAAGGGGCTAGCTGAGGCACGAGGGTGGCAGGCAGGCAGGCAGCCCTGCACTGTAGCACCTTTGTGCCCCAGCCAGCCTTAGCCACTGTCTACACGTGTGTTGCAGCAAAGTAAATAACTCTGCTGTAGGATAGTACTCGTGTTGGCAGTACTATTTTATGGTGGAGTTAATTAGTTTACTCCAGCCTATTAGCACCACATGTGTAGACAGTGATGCTTTACTGCAGAGCTAATTAGGCAACTCAGCAGTAAGTATCTCATATGGATGTTCCCAGTATTATTTTAATTCAATATGATAAGGCCAAAAGATTTTTAAAAGGAAAAATCGTGTGGCCTTTCCAAGCCAGAACAATAAAGAATCTGAGAATGTTGATGATGCTGATCTTTCATCAAACTCATCATCTCACCACTGTGTTCTAGGCACACTCACGGGGTGTAAACTCATCAGAGCTTGCACACCAGGCTAGGGTCTTGCCACAATCTTGTTTTGAGCTCCTCTCTAGGCTGTGGCACAAGCTAGTAGTGATTCAGTAGGTGTTGTTTCTGAAGAGAGAGCACCATGTTGCTGAAGATAAATGTACTGCAGAGTTCCTACAAAAAACTAGAACTCGTGGTTCCAAAATTATACCTTTTATTATACCGACTGGAAAATAGCAAGAAAATCGTAGAGTTCCTGACATTTCGGATGAGAGCATGAAGAAGTGCCTATTGATGTTTTCCCCAAGAATAAGAAAGTTAACCTTAATGCCCTGACCAAATTCTAGTTCTGAGCATTTTACCTACAAATAAATACAAATAAAAATCAGTTGAAGTTATTTTTCTCTACCCTCCTTTAAAAGATGTATTACCATATTTTCTCACATATGTACCATTCACCCAAAAGCCAGCCACTGGAAATTGGAGTGTGCATTATATGTAAGAAATACAGTAAAAGAAAGCCCTGCCACTGACTGGCTCACACCAAAAGTAAAATCTGCAGTGATCCACAAGGAGCAGAACAATGAGCAGGCTCTGTCCCCTAACCGCTGCCACTCAGTTACTTAGTGCAAAGGAAGACCTCTTTTCTTCACTCTGCTTTTCAAAAACAAGTTAAGTATTACATTCCAGGGCATGTTGTATGCAAGAAAATACAGTATATTCACCCATGTGGACGTGGCAATACTGAGGTGGTAAACAAGAGACTGAAAAGCTATCCAGGATCCTTCTGAAACGAAGACACCACATTACTATTACTATTTTTGTGCAACCTTTATATGTTTTTTGTTGTAACCTACGAAAAGGTGATTTTAACAGTAGTTTCACTTGAATCAACAAGTATCTACAAAGTAAATAGGAGATGACTAGGCTTAGAATGAAAACATCTGAGTGCCAACATACTTTGAAACAGAAAATGTCAGTGAACATGTAAACAATTTGTTGCAACATCACCTCTATTATGATCTCCTTACTACTTACTCCCACCTCACAACTCCCCACCTCATTATGGGCTAAACTGCAATGAGTCTAGCCCTTATTATGGGCTAGGCTACAGTCAACCTAAAGGATGGGGTAGCACATAGCAGTGGTGATCCATGAGCTGACGCACGGTCAAAATTCCCTCCTCCAGCTTCCCTCCACATCAGGCAAGAGGCAGTATCAGTCACCTAGCATGCACTGACCAGTATGCTTAGGCCAAGGTGAGGAGGAGACAGAGCCAGGGCTTCATTTATTTCCTGCATGGGAAGAGATATAACAGGTCTGTGGACAGTTTCCCTTGTTCACATTGGGAATCACCAGACACTGCCGATGCAGCAGCTCACAGGAGCACAGTAACTGTAGGACAAGGGCAAATTCTGTCCCTTATTTGCACAGCCTGGCAAGCTGAGTGACAGTTCAGTGGCCTGTAAACTCCATTTATTACAGCAGCTTAGTACAAAAATACAAGTTTTGACGACTCCTGTTAAAAATAAACCAAAACCCAGCATTCGGTTCAATTCAGGAAATGAGAGTGTGGCATCCCTTGGCTGTAAAGTAGAGCTTGTCAGATTCCTAAGGTCAATGTGGAAGCGAGTTCTCTGGAGGCCGTTCAGCTTGGATTAAATAACAGGATGCAAGAGTGTGAAAGTCAATTCCTGAATCCAATGGTGTGGTGGTGGTGGTGGTATTCATGTGTCAAGCAATTAACGGCTCACAGAGGAGATTCCCCAGTAGTGAACCATTGGCACGACCACTACCTGATCCTCTGCGTGTGTTAACAAGTTTTTCCCTGCATGCGCATTTACCCTATATATGCATTTACCTTCTGCTTTCACACCTAAAATGCCTGCTTTGCTTTAAGCCAGGATGCACCCTACTACTAGGCTTCAGTGCATCTCTGGTTGCTAGCCTTCAGGTGTTGTCTTGATATGTGGCCAGATCCTGAGCCAATATAAATTGGCATGATTTCATGTAATTCATCAGCACTATGCCAGGTTTCGTTCACTGAGAATTTTGCCCACAACACTTTTCCTCACCGCTTCCACAATTTGCAGTGCAGCCATGAAGTGAGTTGCGTGGGTAGTGTGGTCTGTGGGGATCTGACACAGCAGGCAGCTCTGAGGATTTATGGCCCTATCAGGTACCAAAATAGGAGTAAGCACAAACAGTCCTCTGGATAGGTGTAGGAATGGGTCAGAGAGAGTTATGTTTTTACTTTCAGCCACCCAGCTACAGTGCTAGCAAATGACTGTTCTGGATCTGCCTTGATGAGAACAGGTAGGTCAGTGTGTACCGAGACAGGCCTCAGATTCTGCTTTTCCCACTCCAGCTAGCATCTCAGTGGGTTTGCAAATCCACAAGTGTCTGAGGCTGCTCATGCCTCCACATTGCTTGATTTCTCTTTGAAGGGTTGAACATTCCCCTACCGCCTGGCATGTCTTGTGGGGGGGAACATGTGGGAGCTCTGAATTTCTGCCCAGATCAGCATGTGCTCTGATCCCTTGCTCAGTTTCACCAGCCTACGACAGCTTAGTCCTCACTTTATGTTCTTGCTCGCATATATTGTCTCACTTAACATGTCCCCTGTTGTTTGGCTGATGCATCTCCTTTCACCTTTTCCTGCAGGCCAGTCCACATGTTCCTGTACTCCAGCTTACTCCAATTACACTCATTACTTCTGTTCTGAGCCCCACTACAGGCATATCTTACATCTCAGCTATACCTATTGCCTCATAATTTCCTGTATGGCTTACACCCCTGGTTTCACAAGTTTTGACTCTTGCTTACTGAGGGACTGGAACCTTTTAAACCTATTTCTGCAGTCCCCACTGAGGCAAAATTCCCATTAGACTGCCAAACTGGGCTGTCAGTCAATGTTTAGAGGAACATGGGATCACAATGGTCACATAACTCTAAGGCTCATTGAAGGAAAAATCTGGTTGATCATTGCTTGGATGCCATGCGGATATGCACTATGGAAAATAACAAGATAAACAGATATCAGGGGAAAATATATTCTACAGTGAAGTCTGAAAAGACAGAGTAATAATCTTCTAAGAGAAGTAGTAAAAGTTTTTTTAACAACAGAAATTACAACAGGAACTGGCCATGCCCCCAAGAATATGCTACAGATAACAATGGTACATTGGTCAGGAACTGGAAATTAAATAATGATGGTTCTACGTCTGCCACACAGCGGTAAATATAACAATGCAAGTGTACTTTACAGACACCTTTTAAGCCTACCAGAGAATTTAAGATTCCATATCATGCAGTCAGATTATCTCACATTTATGCATATGGAACAGCACATTGGTTAGATATTTTGTTCTTTTTTTTAACAGGAATGTTGTTCAGAAATGCAATGATTACAAGACAAAGCAGAGTCTCACATTATGAGATAAGTGCTTTCACAGCTTAAGGCCTTATGAAAATTCAGCAGAAATAGATATTCCAGTAACCAAAATGATATTTTTTACTTGACAGACAAAAGAGGAAATATTTCATTTTTAATTTTCAGCCCTGTATAAAATGGAGATCTTTAAGCAACAAGTATTTTATCAATTGTTTTCCTTATTCAAACATCAGAAATATCTACTAATTTAACACTGTGACCAAATATTGAAAGAAAGCCCTGGCAAGAATGACTGGTGTGCAATATAATCAAGGGGGTCTTTGTTTTTTTTTCAGCAAGCTAATGAATGCATACATGACGTCCACTGGGTCTCTGACATGACAGGCATATGGTGTTTATAAATAAATAAAAAGCCTGACAATGCAGTTACTTTGATACCACTGAATTCAGTAGCTAGTAGCATTTGGTTAACTGGTGAGCTGTCTACTCCTAGTTATCCTGACAGCAAGAATAAAATAAAATGTCTTGGTAAAAACAATTACTTTCAAGTGACAGCTTTTAGGGTTTTTTCTGTTAACTCATGTTAGTAGGATCCCAAAAGAAATATTAGGAATCTTTCTATTTTATATCTTCAGGTGCATGTTTATCAATTATTTAAAATTACAGTAGGAGGGAATTAAGAGCCATAGAGATGTGCTTTTAATATTAAGGGCTCAGAAACATCAGTAGAAACTAAGGATCAGATCCAAAAGAAGACACAGATTTATGAAATGGGACTTAAATGCCCAAATGCCACACAGGTCCAGAATTGAGATCCTGAACCCCCTGTCCACCTGCCACCAAACCCTTGAGGCGCTTATACTCTAGAAATGCCATAATTTTTTTTTATTTAAAGATCCCCAGGTTCCTAAATTTCTGCTTAGGCACATGCCCAGAAGCACCTTGGCTCAGCATTTAACTTACGCCTATGCCCAATCAGATCCGAAAACTAAGCATTCCTCTGCTTAGCTTTGCTAGACACTCTCAGGCATGTGTTGGGCTCTATACAATATCCAGTGGTGGGCCCCATCTTGGGGTTAGGGAACTCATCAATGATGTAGGTAAGTGAGGTTCATGTCCCTCTGCCTGAGGGGACTGGAAACCCATCTCTCCCACACAAGTACCCTAACCATCAATCTGCAAGGTCATTATCAGTATTCACAATTAGACAGGTGTGTTTAAACTTCAAGTGTGCCTTTTAACAGTGACAGTTTTGAAAATGAAAGATACAGATGCCTGTGGGGAAAAGAATGATAAAATCATGGACTTTAATTAAAAGGCTTGATAGCAAAAGTGAGGCTATAACTACACTGTGGGAAAGCCAACAAAATGTATCAAATGGAGTCCAGATTTTAAGACTCAAGAGGTTCAATTCTGACCTGAGACATAGTCAGACATTCCCTGCAATTTGGTGGGGGTATGAGGATATGAAAAGTGCTTTTGGTGAATGTGGAGCAGAGCTTGTAAATATACCTCCTGCTAAAGAAAATTCAAAAGTCAGGTGAGATTTCTAAAGGAAATAGCATCACTGGAAATCTCTGGCTTAATAATCTAGGGAGAGTATTTTTGCTAGTATACCAAAGGAACTGGCTTCAGAATGGCAAAAGAAGCCCATTATGGCAGATACAAAAAATTAAGGTACACTTACATGAGGAACCACTCAATGAAATTTAATAGCATGTATCATACAGGAGAACAGACTGGATAAATAGGCCTTTGGGCCTTGAAATCTATTAATATTCTGTCATTAAGCAGACTTCTCCACAGAAATAAAAACTAAAGATTTAGTTTCAGAAGGAGAAACAGAAAAATTAACTGGCTGAAGTGTCTATGTCATATGCAGGTGATTACTAAATTGTACACTGCAGCCATAATGCATACAAGCACTACTCAGTATTAAAACAATGGAAAAAAATATGTCTGTGCTTCTCAGAGTGAAATACAAAGACAGCCCCTTCTAAAAAAGCTGCACATTTGGTCCTTTAAAGTAACCAGGGGACCAAATTTTAGCATTACATGTTTGTAAGTAGTTTACGTCTGAGAGTTTTTTGATATTTGATATTTTGGTATTTGTTTTTTTGTTTTCATTAACACCTTTGCACCCCAATGTGAATTCATAAATAATTTAGCATACATAAACTTTCAGCTGTTGTGGATAAAAAAGAAAATCTACCCCATGAGCACTATCAGTCAAAGGTACAGATCTTTCCATTTGAAGCTAGGATGCAATGTATTGGCCTGATCTACTCGCTGGTAAGAAAAAGTTAGAATTCAATACCCAAGTGAAGAGATACAACAGAAGTGTACTGTCTTGGCAAAGACCAAAAAAGAGCAAACAAATAAGTAAGATGTCTTAGCAGGAAATGACTGCCTCTCAAAAAGGAGGGAACAGTACTAGAAGTTAGAACAGCACAGGAAATAGCCCAGTTGATTTATAAGTATATGTATTTAAATTTATTAATAATGTAGCTCTCTTATCTTTCTAGACATATAAAAGTAACAGATGCATTTAGCAAATGTTAGGAAGTAAAATAGTGACAAAGTTTAAACTCTCTTTAACCATCACCTAGTCAGGATTAACCCAAACCAAAACCCTCTCCCCACCCCCAAATCCATGTACACCTTTTGTGATATAGGCATGAAAGAGAACCTGTTTTCCCGCAGCAGGTTTATGTCTTAATTGTTGTGAATGGTTAGGGTGTGCAGGTCAGTCATTTCTGATCAGAGATGGATGGAAGACTCAGTTATACCTTAAAAAAAAGACACAAGCAAATGAGCTTTTCAACTGTAAATTCACTGGCTCAACAACAAGAGAAAAATGTTTACTATAAAGAGGACAGTCTTTGTGAAGCTGTATCTGATTCAGATCTTTCCTCATCACAACTCAGAATAATTCTCCCTAATAGGGTTCCTTGTTCCAGGACAAAACTTCTCCACTAAAACTAACTGTGATCTATTAAAAGAGAAATGCAAGCAAGCGTGGAATCCAGGAGGAAGCTCTCTGGGGAATATGCAACTCCACTGTTTTTCCCCCTTGGAAAGCTTTCTTTTTTTTTTAAATAAACTATGATGCTATGGAACATAAACATAAGCAGATATTTTCTCCAACTCCTGTTACACAACCGTATCAACCAACCTTTTCCTGTGACTGTACTTTGTAAATTCACTTAACAGTTTTGATATAGTTTGTTCCCTGGTTAAGCCTAGACCATGGTGTTTTTCTCTCTGCTTGGTATTTGGAGGTGGAGAAGGAAGCAAATGCTTACACATGTGCTGGACTCTGTGAACAAGTAGCCACACTGATAACAATTTACATCTTTGTTATGACTTTAATGGAATTAAACTCACATGCTTAAAGCTAAAGGTGTGCATGAGTACTTACAGGATTGGGGCACTAGTTACAAAATTAGGCATGTTAGCTGCAGTTATATACTATATGTATTCTTTACCCTGATGTGCATTATGTCTTGTCTATTACAGCTCCCCAATGAGTGGGAGGGGTGTGAACAGTTATGGGCTTTCTGTAGTTTTGGTTAGGAGGTTTGATTGTTTATTTTTCCCAGCAAAAGTCCTAGATGTGGAATCCTTTTCCTCATACGACTAGTAAAAACTTTTTTAGTGAAAGGACTTTTTCCAGTGTCAGCTGCATTTACAGTAGTAGAACTTGCCAGTAAACCCGGTACTAATTTGAATAGCTTGCTACAGCAATGGGAGAAAAAGAGCACATATAACAAGTTTACTTGACACACAGAAATGTGATCAGGTTCATAAAGAAGAGGCAACAAGATTCTCTACTGCTCTTGTCTAGGGTGTGCCTAATGTGGTCTCTAAGGCCCCAATCCAATCAAGACTTGTGTATGTATTTATGTACTTAACTTTCTGTACAGAGAGTATGCCCATGACAGGTTCAGTCACCAGTCAGAAACTGTTGCCAAAAGGCTTCATGAGCAGAATTCAAGATGTGGGTATCCCTCAAGGAACACTCTTGTGTTCTCATATTGAAATATTTTGTAATATATTTAGAGACCCAGCTCCTGGAATCCATGACTAAATGAGAATCTCTGCTTTCCATTGAAAAAGGGTTCTAGGCCCTCATGGTTACAGAAAAAAAAAATCTAAAAACATGACCCAACTGTCCCCTAAAGGCTCAAAAAACAAAGAAAGCAACAAAAACAGATTTTTTTTTTGTTCTGATCAGAATCTGACTTTTAGGCAAATGTAATGATTTGGGGAGGAGGGGCTGACTCATAATTTTTTAACATATGGTGTCTATAATGTTATACATAAACCATTTTTAAAAGCTAATATGTTTCTTATACATTCACACAGAAACGCCAAAAATATGGAAAGAAAAGTAAAATACTAAAAACAAGGAAGGGGAAGTGCTTCTCAGTGCAGCATTTTGTGGCTTATTCCCTCTGTGTGCTCATACAATTCGTGTGCATCAAAGATGAGGAGAGGAAACCTTTCAATCTTCAGTATTGTACACTAGGGGGCACTGCCTTAACAGTCTATTAATTAAGCCCCACATAACTAGGTGGTATAAGTGGTCTGATTTTCAAAGGCACTATGCCCTCTGAAAATTGCAGTTGATCAATCTTTCATCCTGAATCTTAAATTATTTGCTATGGTGGACTTGTTTTGCAATATCATCTATATCTCTATCTCTATCTATAGGGGACAGGGCTAGGAGCGATGGCACAACCTGTAGCAGAGGAAATGTAGGTTGAAGATTAGAAAGAACTTGTTTATGAGATTGGTTAAACATTGGAACAGGTTACCTAGAAAAAATGTGGAATCTCCATCCCTAAAAAGTTTCAAAACCAGTTTAGACAGACACTTAACCAAGATGGTTTAGTTAGGGTTGGTCCTGCTGTGAGCAGGGAGCTGAAGTAGAACACCTCATGAGGTCCTTTCCAGCCCTACTTTCTTATGATCCTATGATCTGTACTTGTATAAATGCTGACATCTACAACAGTAAAGAACAATAGGCACTGTTGTAATATTTCTTATATTAAATGGTAACTACTTCTAGTAACATTAATCATGACTTATAATCCTGAAAAAAATAATGCTTAAACTGTATTTTTAGGAGTACTTATCAGCTGAAAGTTTGTTTTATTTGTACTATGTAGCACCTTCCATTATTTTAATCTATGTATGGCATAGCTCCCCTGAAGTCAAAATCTACCATTGCCCCTCCTGTGACCCCAAACACCTTGATATCTGAGTGCTACAAATGGGAATATGCAAAGGAAATGACTTGACCAATAAAATGTTAGCTGAGATACAGAGCTCAGTTGTACAAAGTGCTGCGGACCTTGATCCTGATCCAGCATAATGCTAAAACAGGAAAATAATCCTGATTGAACTGCCCACGTCTATAAAGTTAACTATGATCCTAAATGTTTCAAGCATCAGGGACCAAAGCAATGATGAAAATGTCTGAAGAAAGCAAACTATTCATGTATCAGTAACCAGTGTTTGCTGCAAACTACAGTTTCCAATCACATTCAAGATTTTTGTTGAAAAGACCAACTTTGATAAGATCATGTTGCAAATTACTCCTGCATCAAATCTTTATGTCCTCAGATTGGAGTAGACACTCCAATCCTCCCAGGGGATCTTTATGCACAGATTCCTCCTGTCTAAAGATATATTGAAATCAATGGAACATGACAACAGATATAAGAATCTTGATTTGCAAAGCACTTTGGGCCAGATCACTATCAATTATTAGTCAGAAATCCTCATTGCCTTCAATACGAAGTATTGATTTAAAGAAAAAAAAAAGCAAGGTAGTATAATAAGTCACTATGATTGAAAAATGCCTTCAGCAGCTTTGGCTTGCAAAGCATGGAGGAAAGAAATCAGCATATCCAAAAGTCTAAACAACTCAAAATGTACAATTTGAAAAGTTTGGGTATGAATCACAAGCATCCTATTATTTTCCAATTCATAAAAGAACCATAAGAGGGGAAAAAAGATAGGTACCTAAAGCCAATACCTGAAAAGCTGCTGAAAATGACTTTTTGCTGAAAATGTGCTTCTGGTGGGAAAAACTTGTACCAAATATTTAAGTTCAGCCCAAAAGTAATATTATGCCCTAATTGTTAGTGCATAATTATGTAGAGACCCCATTTTGACTACAGAAATGGTACTATGAGTGGTGCTTCTGACACTGAAGTATTTTTTCCATGATTTTCAATGAATTTTCACTTTTCAGTTCTATGTTATTTCTATGTATTTATCTATCCTGTGTTTTCCTTCGTAAAAACCATTTTTATTTCAAACTCAAATTGAAACAACCTAGAGTAACTTTGTTCATGTTATTCATAAGGATGGCTGGAAGGTCCCAAACCTGCCCTTAAGTTACCATAGGTACTGTATGTAGTCATGATAAAAGCAACACCTTAGGGACAACTGGCTGCTTTAATGGAAAAATTCTTGACTGCTGGGAATCAGGAAATAGATGGTTTGTAAGCAGGTGTTTTTTTGCAGACTGGCTAAATGTTGTGCACCTGATTACTGAAAAGAGGTAGTTAGCTGTGTTAGTCTTAGATTAGGCAGAAGGCAGGGTGGTAACTAGTTCAGAGAGGTCTGACCTTTGTAGGTGACCATCTACTTAGCATCTGATAAAGTAGCCTGTTTCTTATGAAAGCTTAGGCTTTGCTGAACCAGTTACACTAAAAAGTGTCAGTCTGCTCTGCCTGATTACTGGGGAGAGATTGTAAACGACAAGTAGTCTACACAGTCTTTCCTGGAGAGAACCACATTGTGTAACAGGGTATTAGAAAGTTTGGGAGTGAAATTAGCCCATAGGGACTTTTTTGCCAAGTGCTGTACAGGATGAAAGTTGACAAATCTGTACTTCATGGCAATGGTTCTCAAGCTCTGCAGACTCAAGGCACCTGTCAGAAAATGCCAGCTTTTAGCTTTCATTCAGTTTTTTTGACTACAGAAAAATGATACAGCCATTCTTCTACTGCAAAGAACTCAGAAAGCCTGTGATGGGTCAGCTTTGACACTATAGATTCCCATTTGAAATCTCAGGTTTATCTTGTGACTTGTGCATTGGTGCTTGCACACCTAACACTGCCAATTGCATGTGTCACCCTTAATAGGACCTTACAACACCTTTGTTGAGAATCACTGCTTTATAGGTAGATGGCATACTTCACTCTTCAAGGACCGGCAGGCATTCCTGGCAAGGAAAGTGAGATAAATTAATGTAATAGTCCCCCTCACATGCTGAGAGGCAGCTTCTAAGGAGAAAAAGCAGCAGCCCAGGAAGGCTAATGGCAATTAGCAGGGGTATGAGGGGCAGTGGTTTTGAAGCTCTGCAGACTCAAGGCACCTCTCAAAAAATGCCAGCTTAGCTTTCACTCAGTTTTTTTTACTACAGAAAAGCAACAGAACTGTTCTTCTGTGACAAAAAACTTAGACCATGGCAAGTCAGGTGGGTTTTGGTACTAGGGGTTCCCATTTGAAATCTCTGGGATTTATCCTGTGAACTGTGCTGGTGTTGGCACACCTGCCCATGCCAACATCATGCAGCATTCCCTTCTGATAACCCGGCTGAGAATCCCTGCTGCCTGGGCAGGCGGCACACTTCATTCAGTCTTTAAGGACCTGCTGGCACTCTTGGCGAGGAAAGTGAGGGTGACAAGCCCCCCACCCCTTACACACTGAGAGGCAACTTCTGCTCCTATGGAGGAGGGGAAGAAGTCCAGGAGGCCCAGGATCAGGGCAAGCTAGTAGCCGGGAACTCCAGAGGTCACCTCATCCTGAGGCAGGACTAGCCCTATGCCAACCATCATGTAAACCAGTTTGTCAGCCTTTTTTGTACCAGGACCCATTTGTAAAAACCAATGGCCAGTCCCAACCCAGTGCCCCTCACTCCCAACCAACTTCCCCCACCCCTGCAGTATATGGGCCAGGAGGTAGGGGTGGGGGTGTGGGCAGTACCCTACCTAGACTCCTGGCGGCCCTGGGCAAACTTTTAGTATCGGGCCCCCCCTTCACCAGAGACAATGATGATAATAATCATTATTTTCACCATTTTCGGGGCCCCCTTTTCTGTCCGGGCCCTGAACAGCTGGCTGGTTTGCCCATACCTGTGTCTGGCCTGGTGTGTAGGGCATGAATGCCGCATGCTGCTGGTGGCTGGGGGGACACTGCGAGCTCCTGCAGGCAGTGGCGCTGTTGGTGGTGGGAGCCTGGCGGCAACAAGCGGGGAGCTCCCACAGGCGGCTGTGGCGCTGTCAGCAGCTGGGTGGTAGGGGCAAGCGCTGACCAGTGGTCAGCGACCACCCACAGACGCCACCAGCAGCGATTGCGGACTGCC